TTTTCACTAACAAATCTTTAAATTCTTTAAAAGAAAATTACTAGATAGATAGTTTCCCCAAACACATACGAACCATTGTTATGACTACCAACATTATAATTATAACCACTGAATTTATCAAATATTATCATTAAAAATATTAGTTTTATTTAATTTAATTAATAACAAATATTAATAATTATTAATTAATAAAATAATCAATATTTATTAATCAATAAATTAAAATCAATAAATAAACTAATATTTTTAAATACTATTTAAAAAATTAAAATTTTAATATTCTTAAAATTTTAACGATTTTAATAGGAACCATTACCAGTTACCATACCACACCCAACATGCAGTGCAACGTTTTTTGCTTTTTACCTTTCTTAATCCGAGCCTGTTAAACTCAATAAAAGGTTTGTGTCTTTTCATGAAACAAAGTGCGGCAGTTGTCGTGTTGTGCAGAGTTTTTAAATGAGATGATTGAATTTTGTCGTGAAGCTCTTTGTACTGTACTGCGGTGTGCAACTGCAGGCTATGAATGCAGAAATAAACGCACGCACTTGAAGGGAATGATGATCATGTCACCTCGTCATACTGTTGCGGTGGAGATTTCCAGTTCACTGCTCTCAATCAAATCTCAATTTTCATTTTCTCCAAAAATTTAACCTAATTTTCATCTTTAGAAATATATATGTATAATTACACAGTAACACAGGAGAAGTCGTTGATCATGAGTATAATCCTATGTTGACTATCATAATTGATGGTAGTGTGAATCACTTGTTATTTTATGTGAATTATGTATTTATAGTTCATTAAGTGTAATTTTAAATGTGTTTGGAGTAAAAAATTGTAAAATCTTAAAATTAATAACTCTAACTTAAGTTTTTGAGAATTCGTAAAGCTTGACTTAAAAAGTTGATGATGAGTTTCTACTTTAGTTATCAACTTGACAAAATAGACTATTAATTTATTGTTTAGATATTATGAAATGGAACAAATGTTTTACAATGTGAATTATATTATATATATATATATATAGTTTGGGTATTGAAATAACAAAAATATAATTAATGAATAAGTTTAAAGAGTAATTTTATTATGAGTATTTAAATAATTTTAGTATTTAAATTACACCAAAAAAAAAATATAATTTCTATTGAAAAATACCTTTATCTTCTTAGAAAGGTTTAAACTCTAGGCATTTGTTAAGTATGTTGAGATATTGGGGATAGGAATTGGGGCTAGGGCCACGAGAAACCCAGTAATAAAAGGTCTTAAAAGCTAGAATAAGTGTATTTATCCTCAAACCAATAAATGGGTCCAATTTAGGTTTGGGTGATAATGAGTAGTGGCTTTATTCTCTTCACTATGAGATTTAATTAGTTTCTATGCTTTGTTTTCTCATAACATAATTAAATTTATGAATTATGATGCCTTGTTTTCTATCTTCTAAGAGAATCTAGGATTTAGATAAGGATCAAGAGCTTTACTGAATATATAGCACGTTTATATGCTATTTCTTGTTATTTTCTTTCCTCAAGGAAAAAGGAGTAGGTTGACTATATAAGGGGCCAAACATAGAGTTCTAATGATTAAAGATTTTAAAAGAAATTAAACAGGCACAAGCATATATATGATAACCATGTTTCTTATTTTGTCAATCTCTCTTCCTCTAATCACTTCATGAACTTTATCAATAATAATAATAATAATAAAAGTAACATTTGGGATGCTTAAAATTAGTTCAACTAATTAAAATTTTAAAATTTAAAATTAAAATTTTTTGTGAAAAGGGATTTGAAAAAATGGGTAAACTCAGAAAATAATAAAAGCAATCACTGAATCATTTCAGCAGTGGTTGGCAAATGGCAAGGGTCATGCTTTCATTCCATCAACAAACTCACGTAGCTAAAGCAGAAATAATGCACGGTGCAGATCAGGCCCACATTTGATCATCTTCCAAGATGTTAAAAACTTAGGCCCACCAGTAAACTTGATTTTATCTTGTGGGACCAGATAGTGAAAGTGGTGGGCCCTATCAAAATAATTTGTAC